TAAGAAAAATTGTAAATGTTAGACAAATAGCCAAACTCTTAAGGGGATTTGTTTTACCCAAAAAAATGTAAATCATTAATCTTTACCTTGTGAAGGATTTCAAAAAGAAAAAAGGTAACTGAGATAAAATGACCTAGATCCCGTGGTTCAAGAAACAAACGGTCTAAATTTATTCATGGAGAGAGAATTCACCGTGGTTTTTACATTTAGAGATGAGTAAAAATAATTTTAGAGTTTTGTAATGAATCAAATTCCGTAGATTCATTCCGTAGGTGTTTGGCTATGGGCTAACTTATACAATTCTTAGCTCTTAGCTCAAGGCCATCAACTTTAAACAATCAAAATAAAGCACACATCTGAATCGTGCTAAAATATGCAATTACAATATCATATGCCCTTATGATGGTTGAAAAATTTACTTAGTGTTTGTTTTATCCGTAATATAGCGTTTGTTTCCATTTTTCTTTTCTTTTTTCTTCCTTATTTGACCATATAGCATACTCATGCAAGCACAATATATACTTACCCCCTCGGGCAAACGATCGACTTTGATATATTTTCTGGACGTAAAATTTTGTGATCCATTTTAAAATCATGGGATTATTTTCATTAAAACATAAAATTTAAATTTCCAAACATTTAGATATGACTATCCATAAATTGGACAGTCCATTCAACCTCATGTCATTATTTTTTTAGGCACATATAGAATAAGTACCACCTTTTTTAGGTTTGTGAGTAAGTTTAAGAACTTATATCCCTGAACTTTGGGGTCTTAATAATACCCCTAAATAATTATCCTAAAATTACCCCGAGAGAGGTTGGAACATACACTGACAAAAGCATCTATCTATTGGCCTGAACCCAGCATGAGGTACCCTGTTTTTATTGTTTCTTTACCACTTTTGATTATTCAACATGTAACTCTCATTTTTTAACATAACTTTCCTTTATGAGTGTTATTCTCTGAGTAAAGTTTTCCTTCATTATTTTCTAAGGTTCTGTTTGGAAGCTTGGAAATGGGTCTCCAGGAGACTTATTTCCATGGAGATTGGCCATTTCCGCAGTTTGCTCAATCTCCACGTGGATATCTATTTCTATGTTTTGAGGCCAAAACGTGGAAATCTGTATTCCGCTAAAATAGGTGGACTACAAATCTCCATATTTTGAGGCCAAATTGTGGCAATGTGTATTTCAACAAAATAATAATAATGATAAATATTATTATTATTATTATTACTACTATTATTCTTATTACTCTCAACATTTATAATATAGGATTGTCTACAAAGAGATCATTTATCTTTTGTACAAGGAGGTCACAACTATTCTCATTCATTAGATGTCAAATTTGATGGTTTAGTGTGAGTCACAAAGTTCAAGAATATTTTTTTTGAACTTTGTGTTCATTCAATGACACTCTTGCAACCACCCATTTTGAAATTTAACGAACAAGAATGATTGTGACCTTGTACAAATGATAAATGGTCTATTTGTAGACAATCCTTTAAAGTATATGATAATTGAGTAATATTATACATATTATTATATTGTTACAATTTTGATTAGTAGTAATTCTACTAATGTTTTTATAATAGTATCATAAATACTTTATTATTATTATTATTATTATTATTATTATTATTATTATTATAATACATTGTTATTGATATTTACAATGCAATAATATTAATATAATCCAAACATGCATCTCCAGTGTCCAAACGTCCCCCTAAGAGTAAAGGTATATCATACGCATAACATCGATTTTATTTAATTGGGATTGTATATTATGAGATTATTTATTTTTTGTACAATTAAGTCACAATCATTCTTAATTATTGGATGTGATATTTAATGGATTGAGGTGTGTCACAACACTCAAGAGATTTTATTTCAAACATTGTGCCTAGTCAATGATCTATCTTCAACCACCCGATTTCATATATAATGGTAAATACCCGTTGTGATCTTCTCGTACCGAAAGTAATATTTCCTATTTAAATAGAGCACCTCTCAATTATCATCTATTCTAAAATCAACTATATAATTACATTACAATATGCAAGGTACTTTTCCTTTTATTCGTGCCTTGCAAGGTACTTTCCCTTTTATTCGTAGTTAATGCCTATGTGAGTTTGCACCCTTTTCATGAATGATATTTTCCATGTAAGTTAGTCGCTTGTTTAAAAGTTGGAGTTATGCATTCTTCTGTAATTAAACATTAGGTGTGGTTTCTATAAGGTTTCAAATTTAAACAATCCAATTAAGGTGCACCTTCAAATTTTATGATTAGATATAATTTTACTGTAAAACATTCTTAAGATTATTTGAAAATTTATTTTCATAACTAATTATAAAATTTTAAAAGAGAAGATATCTCGATACCCCCAACTTTTAGGTTTCATTTCACAAGAGACCCAAGGTTTTAAATGATATCCTGGGCTTAAAAATTGTAGTTTTATTACTTCTAACCCCCTGAGCTACTTTAAACCTATTGTTTTAGGCCAAACAAATCTAAAAAAATGTCTTTTTTAAAAGCCATCCTCCCAAAGTTCTCTCTCTCTCTCTCTCTCTCTCTCTCTCTCAGTGCATCCTTTCTCTCTCTCTCGATCTTTTCTATCTCCAACCTCTCACTTTCTCTCCTCCCAAATACATACTAAGTATATGGAGAGAAAGAGAGGTGTTTGGATAAACACAAGAAGAGAGTGGTGTGTTAGGTGGTGAGAGGTAACAAGGAGGATAGAGTGAGATGTTTGGATAAACAGGGAGAGAGAGAGAGAGGTGTTTGAATAAACACGCTAGGAAAGGGATGCTTGGTGGTGAGAGGTTATCGGAAGGAGATAGAGAGAGGCGTTTAGATAAACACGAGATAAGATAGTGGTGTTTGGATAAATGTTTGACAAACACAAGAAGAGAGAGAGGCATTTGGTGGTGAGAGGTTATCGGGATGAGAGAGAGAGGTGTTTGATAAACACGTTACGAGAGAGATGCTTAGTGGTGAGAGGTTACTAGGAAGAAAGAGAGGTGTTTAGATAAACACGGGATAAGAGAGAGGTGTTTGGATAAACACAGAAAGAGAGAAAGGTGTTTGGGTAAACAAGGAGGAGAGACAGAATGTAACACATGAGAGAGAAACAGAGAAGTTTGAGGTATATAAATGAAGAGAGAGAATGGATTGGGTTTAGAAATATCATGACTTTCTCACATTTGTTTAGATTAAAAAATAGGTTTAAAGTGGTCACAGGGTTGAAAGATATTTGTTGAAACTTTGAATTAATTAAAAAATAAATTCTAAAAAAGGGGATATGGAGATAGTTTCCTAATTTTAAACTCCAACAATGGTTAAAATCAAGTAGATCATAAACATATGAGCATCATGAAAATAGACGGTCTAGATAATGTGTTGCAAGATGCACTATTTTTGGGCCTCAAAGTCTTCTTCTTTTCTTTTTTTTTCATATTCATACATCTTGATGTCGAGATGATCAATTAGAGGGTTTTTCAACATTAAAACACCATTTTTCGATGGATTTTGGTGCATATTTAATTCTACATTTTAAAGTTGAAACCTTATATAAATTTTTTCCTTAACATTTTATGTGATGGTAAATCTTTGTTATTGAATATTGGAAAAATTATATACAAAACACCTTTTCAACGGCTTCATCATGTCTTGAATCGAATTTTTGTAAAAAATTACGTATTAATTTTATTTATTTTTATGTTATTTATGTTTTTTCAAAATAGACTTTCTTTTATTTTTAATTGATATTTTACTTTGTTACTTCTAATTTTGTATTTCTAAATCTCTATTCTATTTTTAAGTTTACTTTAGATTTCTGTTATACCATTCTATCGTGTTATAAAACTTGGTGGTGGAGTGATGAGGTTCATAAGGCTATTAGCAAAAAAACGACCAAGTTATAAAACTTGACAGTGCAATCGAAATGATTAAAACTTAGAAGAATATAAAAATACTAAGAAAATCGCTCAACAAATAGCAAGGCTAAATTTAAAGCATTGATAATCTATATAGTAAATTGGGAACAAGAAAAGGTGAAAAAGATAGAAAAGGGGTTGAGGTAAAAAGTAATGCAATTTCAATATTTTAGGTCGATAATCCAGAAAAATAGAGAAATTGAGGAAGATGTCGCACATAGAATTAGAGCTAGGTGGGCGAAGTGGAGATGTGCAACTGGAATTTTACGTAATCACCTCATACCAATAAAGCTGAAGGGCAAGTTCTATAGGACAATTGTAAAATATCTATAGAATGAGTGTAGCGGAGATGAAGATGTTGAAATGGATGAGTGAAAAACAAGAAAAAATAGACTTTGAAATGTTTACATTCAAAAAAATTTAAGTGTGGCAACAATAGGCGATAAGATGAGAGAGATTAGACTTGGGTGGGGTAGCCATGTGTGGCAAAGACCAAGTCCAAAACTGTTAGGATGTGCGAGTTAATTTAAATATAAGGCTGAAAAAAGACAAGAGGTTGGCCCAAAAGGACATAGTTGGAACTAGTGAGAAAATATATGTAGACTTGCGGCCTCACAAAGGGTACGACCCTAAATAGAGCAGAATGGTGGATCATGATTCGTATATCCAACCCTAATTAGTTGGGAAAAGGTTTTGATTATGAAGATGATGATCATTACCTAAGCCCTATCCTGACTATTTGAGATCAGCTACGTGAAGCTTGTTCTACCAATCTGCTCTTTCGAAAACTATACCATCAGGCAGACTAAAAATCACCATAGCTCTTCTCACTACTTTCATCCACGTTTTGTGGACCTTCCGTTTGTGCCTTTAATGCTCTTCACTTGAACTAAATCACTCCTCTTAACCGGTATTGTTCTAGGTTGACACATGGTGACACTACCTAAGTTGACTTGTCCTTATCTTATCACTTATTGGAGCCACCGTTAAGTTCCCTTGGATGATAAAAAAACTTTTTGTTATTTTTAATAATCTGCAAATAAATGCCATTGACAATAGCCAACATCCCACATAACTTAAAAATAATACAAAATTAAATCTATTAAAAATCAGTCCACATCCTACAAAACTGGCATTGTATCATCACTCCTCCCCACATCTTATTAGTTATTATTCTCAGTACAAAAACACATACAGATGCATATATTATAGTCAATATTTACAAGAATCCATTGGCCTCCATGCCAAAATTATTTACAACTAAACATGCGTCATCCCATGGAAACTCGCCAAGGAGGTTGCCTGAAAATCCTGACTGAAAACCCTGATACATGTTTGAAACTGGTGATTGATCGGATATCTGGCCAGGAAAAACTATGGTCTTTTCTTCATATTGATTTATAAGGGGCTTCTGCTCAAAATGGTCGAAATGTGATACCCCAAAACCGCTATATTGATTGATGGTTTCCGACTCTAAACTGCTGCTAGAATCGGTGGTAACTGTTTCCTTCGATGTAGCTTGCTTCCATTCCGGCACGTATTTTCGTTGCGATACGATTCGCTTGAAAATCCGGCATATGGTCCATGTTTCCTACATTTGCATATGGCTATATGTAAGAAAGCTAGCTAAGCATCATCAGTGTGAGATGATGCATTATTCAACATTTTACCCATATTGTTTGATTTAATTTTGGAGTATCAAAAAAAAACACATGATCATGAATTAGAATAGTATCAAAAGTATAAAATGCTAAAGGGAAAGTATATAATGAGATCATTTACTTTTAGTACACAGTAGTCACAATTAATCTTGACCATTAGATGTGAAATTGAGTGGATGCATTTATTTCATTGACTAAGCTCAAAAGTTCAAAAGAATTTTTCTCGAACTTTGTGGCACACCCAAGCTATTAGGTTTCTCATCGGATGGTTGTAGTACTTGTGACCTCTTTGTATCAAAAATAAATGGTCTTATTGTATACAATCCCAATGCAAAATAATATATCTCTCATAGATATTTTGATAAAAAAAATTTATATATGTTATAGATTTTTTTTCACCCAAAGAAGTATATAAAACTGTGTAAGTAAAGATTGCATCATTTATTTTCTCTTTTGCTAAGTAAGAATACACTATGCTTAAAAGATGAAAAAGTTTATATAAGGTTGAGGCCCTAAACAATCTAATTAAGGCGCATTTCAAAAATTTACTAGAAGAGGTTGTTCATATCAATCATCACGAACTCGATATATGTAGACCTAAAAACAATAGATTTCAAATCTGAGAAATAGTGCAATATTTAACATGATTGAGAGATCACAAGAGAGTAGCTAGTGCTACTACTTCAAACTTTTAAGTATTGTACTAATTCAATTTCAAACCAATGCCATACAAATATCCATGTATTCATATCTCCATGCATGCATACACCCATAAAGGTGTGTCCATGCATGTTTTTATCACATGTATTCTTGTTTGCATGCATACAATTACGTATGCATGTGTGTCCATATGATTATTTCTCTTCTAGATTGTGGTGTCCAAGAGCATATGAGAGAGAGATTGTGAGTGAGAGATATAAGTTACTTGAGAGAGATTGTGTGAGAGAGAGATATAGATGTTACTTGAGACACATAGAGACATACAGAGAGAAATTGACTGAGACAAGTGTTACTTGAGAGAGAGAGAGAGAAATGTGTTACTTAGAGAGAGAGAGAGAAATGTGTTACTTAGAGAGAGAGAGAGAAATGTTACTTGAGCTAGATTGTTAGAGAGAGAGAGGAAGAGATTGTGAGTGAGAGAGAGTTATGTTACTTGAGTTAGATTGTGTGAGAGAGAGATAGGTGTAACTTGAGACATATAGAGAGATACAGAGAGAGTGAAGAGTTACTTTGTTGATATATATCTATATATATATATATAGAGAGAGAGAGAAGAGAAGAGAGAGAGAGAGAGAGAGCATGACTGACTGGTTCATTGAAGTTCTTGTTGGATGAAGAAGAAAGTAGAGCGGGCTTGGGCAAAGAGGCAGTTGAGGATGGTAGGCGAAACTCGTGCATCATCCAATCAGTCTTCGTCCCCTTCCCTGCACTCCCTCTATAATACACAAGCGACTTCTTCAGCCCTATTATGCATTCATGCCCGGGCCCTCCGCTAGATGTTGAATAAATCGGCCTATCTATGCCCGTTGCCTTCCAAAAGCCCGAGCCCGTCACTCTATTGGGCCTTATACTGTTCCTGTACTTCCTCCCCCTCACACAAAAGAAGTACCACTCTCTATCTCCCACCGTGCTCAATCCTAACAAAAACAACAAAATAACATAAAATATCATTAGTACTTAGCACCACGCCCTCCCTCTCTCTCTCTAAACCCCATTGCTTTGTCTCTTTAATTTTCACTCTCTAGCTTCTAGAGAGAGAGAACTACCATAGGCAACACACCATTGCTCTCTCTCTCTCTTCCATAGAAGAAACAACCATTAACACTAGCAAAGGAAAAATTTTATACAAGCTTAATGTATTCGTGGTCGGTACCAACTACCTTATTTGGACGGTGTAGATCGAAAATTATCTTAAAAAGTTGTATGTCTTTTGATGTATTTCTAGAGAGAGAGAGACATAACTAGCACCAGCCTACTGCTTTCTCTCTCTCAGAGCTAACTGAACAAGCATCAGCATTTTATTAAGGGGAATATATGAGACAGTTGTATAATAGTGAGGGGTACATGGACGGTGGAGATGAGCTATTGTTCCACCTTCTGGGTCGTTAGGTGAAAAAAGAGGCTCATCTCCACCGGCCATTGATGAGAATGGACGTCATGCGTCCTGTGCAGGCGAGTGCCTCATATGGAAAGGGCGGTTCTTTAGCTGACGTCCACCTGTAACCATCGCAGTTACTGTTGAGACAGAGGATTTAGTGATTCTAGAAAGAGAGAGAGAGGAATTAGTATTATTATACATATGGGGTCAATTCTAGAGAGAGAGATAGAGGATTTAGTCTCGTACATTTATACATATGGGGTCAATTCTAGAGAGAGAGAGAAGTTTCGGTATTCTACACAAGGAAGTGGTCAATTCTAGAGTGAGAGAGGATCGAATAAGTTTTTAGCTTAAAAATATGGGCGTGAAAGCAAATTGCAAGAAAACAGATACAAGGAAATTATATTTAAGTAATATTTATATTAAAGTATATGAAGAAGAAAACATATTTAAGTACCTACTAATACGAATATAAGGAAATTATAATTAAGTAATTTTTTTTATCTAATTATATGAGGAAGGAATCATACTTAATTTTTTTTATCTAATTATATGAGGAAGGAATCATACTTAAGTATCTACCATTAAAAGATAAGAAATTATATTTAAGTATTTAAGTTGTAAAATAGGATCACAATATCAAGTCTATGATGTCACACTCTCCCAGTTTTTTCACTTGCAGAACCAAAACACTTTGGCAAATCTCAGGAAAGCCATCTTCAAAGTTGATTTCTCTCTCTATCTCTCTGAGAAAGCCAAAACTCAGTTTTCAAGCCCCTAACGTCTCCTTAAAGCCAAGGCCATCATGGTGGAAGAGAGATGAACCAAAAAAAAGAAAAGAAAAACTCAAAAAGAAAGAATAGGTAAAACAAAGGAACCATCTCTGCTTGCATGAAAAAATGAGCAACAAACTTTAAAGGATTATTTGTAATTATAGGAGATAAAAACTGAAGTAAAACCATTGTTTAGGAGATAAAAACTGAAGTAAAACATTGTTAAGAGACTAATTAGGTGACCCATTTTCACAATTATTACTATCATTATCTTAATAATGGTAAATAGAAGGAGGGGGAGAGAAAAATGTTAATACTAATAAGAATAATCATGAAACTCTCCTTAATAGATAGGATGAAGGGGTAATGGTGAGTATCCTAATTAAGATAAAAACTGGTGCAAACCATTCATACTTGGAAGATCCCATGGATCGTATTTGTACACGTCGATTTCCTTGATGACCTCGATCGATATCGGCTTCTTGTCGATCTTCCGCCGGAGATAAAACCCGACGAGTTCTTCGTCCGTGGGGTGGAACCGAAATCCGGGGAGAATCAAATCCTCCTCACCATTTGGCTCTGATCCCATCTTTTCCTGCATATCCATTGCCCTTTTCCCCTCTCTTGATTTCCTTCTCCTCCTTGTGTTCTTTACTCAAAATAAGAAGCACTAGCACTTCTTCTTATGAATGGATAACACTGATTTTTAAAGCCTGGTTTCTTCTTTGTGTGATGCATGCTACGATCATAATGCACTTTATATAAGGACGAAGAGTTATTTTTATCGTTTGATTTCACAAGGTCAAAGTCATGAGGTTTGATCTTTGAAACTCCCAACTGAAGACTTTGTTGTTAGGGTTATATGTGGGGTATGCTCAATTTTCATTTTCATTTCATTTATGGTCAGGGACCTCTCTAACCCCACCTTGCATTTGTTCCAAAATTGGGTCAATAATTTCAGAATTGCCATTGGGAAATATGAACCCACATTTCGTCTAGTTGAAAAAACTAGAGCGTGGTCCCGTATAGGTACACTACAATTTTATAGGCCTGCGAGAGCATACTGTGCATTTACTACCTCGGGTGGAAGAGCTACTTGGGATGACTTTTTGTTTATGATTAAGGATGCATATAAGAATTGTTAGATGATTATTTTTTTAAAGTATGGATTTTGAGTTTTTCAACGCTTAGGTCCTCACCCTTCTGAAAATTTTGAGAGTCTTAGGCACATACAGTATGCAATTTGAAAAGTTTATTTTATTTATGAAAATGATGGCTAAGTTGAAGAGGTTGTAGCTACAGAACTTCCTAAAGTTATTCCCAGGTTGGGTTTTAGGGAGAAAATGAACAGTATGCCTTTTGGAATATAAATTTTTTAGCTAAAATTATTTCACCAGCAGATAACCTAATTAGGAGGATTTTGAGTTCCCAAACACTTAGACCTGACCATCCAAAATTGGAGAACCTTCACTTGACCTTAGCATGTTTTTTTTTTTTCAGGCACATATATGGTAAAGTAAAAAATTTCTTTTATATATGGAGATTATATCCCTAAATTTGGAGGTCTTAAAAGTACTCTTAAAGAGAATTTTAGCAGGAGAGTGACTCTACGATATGCACACATTTTTTGTGTAAATATTGTATTTTATTTAAATTTTGTTCATGAATGGACCCAAATTATAAATAGTCAGGTTGGTGGGGTGCCACAATATGACATCTTAAGTTCATTCTTATCACAAGTAAAAGTCCCTTTCCCTACCCAATAAAAGAAAAATAACTATTGAAACTCACAAGTAAATATTTGGATACAAGTATTGTTGACAATTATAGAAACCAGATATTGGGTTTCATATCTGGTTTCTATAACTGACAGTAAACATACAAAAACAGAGATTATTGGAAACTTAATTCTTATTTTCAAATTTTACAAATTAAAATTTTTCTATAAAAAAATTGTGTTTTTACCATCTCAAAATTGTGGTAACAATAATAGAAATATGTTTGGCACATGCCTCTTGTTGATTCATTACATGTCTTGCTAATCCATTACTACCAACCAATCAAATTATAATAATTTAAAAATTCATATTTTAAATTCATAACTTTGAATAATGAATTTTTTAGTTGAAATATGAAAAACTGAAAGTATCATTTAATTACTCCTTAATTTGAAAGTACAGGGATTCAAGATAATTTTGAGAATGTAGTAAACCTTATTTGTTAGGAATGTTAGAAATTCCACCCCCCCCCCCCCCCGCCCCCTCCCCCCCCTCTTCCCGGGCCAATCAAATTTTTTTTTCTCAACTTTTTTCTTTACTTTTACCTGAAAACATACTTTTCTAGCAAATACCCCTCAATTAAAAAAATAAATAAAAAAGATCAAAATCCCCTCCCCTTTGTGGTCCGGCATAACCATGTCCTGGTCCAACAATATTGGCCTAAGGCTATCTTCACGCGAGTCCGACAATTTTTTCTCTCGGTCGGGCGCTATGTTCATGATTTTGTCAGGTTTGGCCCAACATAAATTTTCTCTATATGGGAAATGTTATTTTTGTAAAAAATATATAACTTTTTGACTTAGAGGGTATTTGCTACAAAAGCTTATTTTTAGATAAAAATTACAAAAAAAAACTTTATTGAGGGGAGGTTGTCTAAAAAGTATACTTTTGGGGGGTTTTTGTAGTTTTCCTTTTGTACAGAGTGGTCACAATTAATATTGACCATTAGATGTGAAATTGGGTGGCTACATTTATTCCATTGTCCAAACTCAAAGTTCAAAAAAAAAAAATTTGAACTCTATGATGCACCCAAGCTCTCAAATTTCATATGTGATTTTTATAAGTAATTGTGACCTCTTTATACTATAGGTATAGGATGTGGTTTGTATAAGGCTGCTACCTTAAACAATCAAAATAAGGTGCACCATCAAATTTTATAATAAGATGTAATTTTGGAGTAAAAATTCATAAGATGCTCTGAGACTCTATTTGTCGCTAATTATAAAAATTTTGACTCAAAAAATATTTCGAATCATGTAGATCTATAGACAGTATTCAAAATGAACGGTCTAAATAATGTGTTGCAGGATGCACTATTTTTTAGACTCGAAATCATTTATTTTTTCATATTCCTCCATCTTGATGTGGAGATAATCAATTACAGGATTTACCAATATGAGAATATGTTTTTCCAAATTATTAGGATGCCCTTCATGGTTTTGAAACCTCTATAATGGCGTCATTTCCATGAAGGAAAATCCTGGGCATTTTACATACTCATCCATCATGTGCATCTCATAGGAGCATTTTAGAGCATTTTAGATATTTAAGGTATTTTCATTGGTTAAAGTTGATGATGGTGTTAGGACCGTGTAAACAGAAATGACATTTCCTGGTTTTGACAGTTAAAGAGAGAGGATCGGAAGATTCGCCTCCTTTTAGATTTGTATGTTTTCTCCTTGACTTTGAGAGACCTTTAACTTGAGGGAAAAGTTTATATAGAGTCGAGGATCTAGACAATCAAATCGGAGCCTACCACAAAAATTTCACTAGAAGAGGTTGTTTTGATGCTTAAATATCTTCAAATTGATCATGTCGATATCAAGATGGATGGACATGAGAAAAAAATGAACAAGCTTTGGAAATAGTATATTTTGTAACGCATTTTTGTACCGTCAATTTTCAAGATGTTCAAGTTTTCATAGATCTATCGATCTACACTATTTTTGAAGCATTAAACTTTATAAATAACTATAGAAATATATTTTAAGGCTATTACAAATATTCCCAATATTGAAACCACATTTCTTGATACTATTTGAAGGTAGGCTCTATTTTGCTTGTTTAGAGCCTAGGCTCTATAGAAACCATACCCTTAACTTTAAGTGCCTATACTATGCTCCCGAAGGAGCATAGTGTACGCCTTCTCCCTCAGTCTAAAAGGGAGGATTTTTTAAACATGTAATTTTGAGAAACATCAGATCACTAGATTACTATTTTTTAAATGAAAATTTTGAATTTAGAGTTTTTTTAACGCTTAGATCTCTACCTCTAAAAATGAGATGGTTTCTATTCAATTTTGAGACATTATCTTTTTACAGGTATAATTAGGAAATTCTTCTTCTTTAAATCAATCTAAGATTTGAAAGGTTACATCCTCAAAATTTGGATTCCTATAATTGGTCCTAGGTGGGTTTCATCTGAAGGAATAAATGGCCAATATACTCCTACAGGAGTATAACATCTTTTGGATTTAACAGGTTAGGAAAATGGTTAATCCTCACCTTATAACTAAAAATTACAAGTCAAACATTGGAAAACCTTTACATGGATCATTTCGACTTGAACATTATGGTTGTAAAAAAAAAAAAAGAAAATTCAAGCTTTAAAAATAGTACATATTATAGCAAATTTTTTAGACCGTCCATTTTGACTTAAAAATAAGTGTTCACAAATCTGAAAGATTTTTTACTTTTTTTTTAGTTTCAAATTTAAATGTTGATGTTGAAAATTGATTTTAAGCCATCATAAAGATTTATGTCACCAAAAGTACTTTCCAAACGTGGATTTGAGGTGAGGCTTTGTTTTCATAAAGCCTAGGCCATATAGAAAACTCATCCTTTAGGTTATGTTTTTAGGAATAGAGATGCGGCATGTAGCACACTCACAGTGAGCTATGGGGACCATTTACCCTCTATTATCAACAACAGACGGTTGAGATCAACTAGCTACGTTTCCCACGCATATACACTGTTCTCCTTGTGCTATCTTATTTTGTGCGGTTGAAACCAAGTGCGTTTCATTGAATTTTCGCCCAAAGAATAATAAACACGTTATGATCCATTTTGTCAACACGTGCAACTGAAGGTAGAAAAGAGCAGCACCATTCAAATGGAGCTAGAGTTCATTGGTATCGTCCATCATTAAATCAAACGGTCGATGCACATTGGTTATGTGTATGAAGGCCACACATCATATATCGACTAGTATTTTTCTTTTCTGTTTTCTGTTTTTTTTTTATAAAATATTTGGACTATAAGTTTCTCATCCCCAAACATGCAACCGTTTACCTTTCCTATTTTTGCCCCATCTAATTTGTATGATATTGCAAGTAAACATTGTTTTCATTTCGCTCTGATGACTTAGGGCTACAATAGGGTCCATTGAGAGATCAAGAACCCGCAGGTTCGGATGGATTCCAACCCAGTAGGGTCTGAGCAAGAAGAGAATCTGGTGAACCTGGACCCATACGCAACACACCTGCCCAGGTTGGGTCCATGTTGGAATTGTATAATTTATGTTTAGGCCCTAAATTTTTTTCTAAAATACGAAATGCCTCATTTATAGACAGAAATTATAAAGAAAGTCAGTCAAGCCGCATGTCTATTTTTTCCAAAATTGTTTCTCGATTTTGATGATGAAATCCTAAATTCAAATTTCAATTTATTTATTTTTTTACTTTTTTTGTTAGCAGGGTAGTACCTCGAGCTTTAGGGTAGTGCCCTACTAACCAAGAACTTATTTAGAAAATTTTGGATCCAGGGGCAATTTTAAAAAAATGATAAAAATGTGTTGATTGACTTTTTATGTAATGTTGACCTATAAATGAAGCATTTTTTATTTTAGAAAAAAAATTTAAAATTCGTACGTCTTATAACATAACGTATTAGAATAGATAAAAAACACCATTTTAGGATAGCTCTGCACGTAATAATTGTTAACTAATGAAAGGG